GCATTTATAAGACTATCTCTTTGTTGCTTTGTATGTCCCTCCCCCACAGTATAACCCCTGCTTTCACTATATTTGATGTCAGTATAACTTGTGGAGGAGAGGGGGAAAAAGCAGTTGTTTAAGGATACAGGTGGACCTGATCCAACAACAAGAAGTATAAGTTGTCATGTCCAAAACGGTGGAGGGGGAAGGGGGGGAGGAGAAGGGTTGAGATTGGGGGGGAAGGGGGGAGGCTGGGAAGGGATGTGAAGGGTAAACCAAAGGAGGAGGCTGCAATGCTTGGTAAGAAATATACGCATTAACCTGCCCATGTAATTGTAACCCCTCTGTACAGTATGTTCACAAATAAAAAATAAATTAATTAATTAAAAAAAAAGAAATAAAAAAAAGTTGGCGTTGCACTTTTAAGTGATTTAAGAATGCCTTCAGTAAAACTGATACTATGCTTCTTGATTCTGTTGTCTTTCTATGTCTAAGAGGATTAAATCTGTACATTCAAGAGAGGGAGAATTCAAAATATTTTATTTTTTATTTTACTTTTTGAACTTTTTTTAAAATTGTGAAAATACAGTACAGAGGAGTTACAATTACATGAGCAAGGTAATGAGTACATTTCTTATCAAGCATTGTGGCCTCCTCCTCCGCCCCTTCCCACATACCCCCTCCCCCTGAACCAAAGTTGTAAAGTTCGTTTTTCTACATAACGTCTTATATGTCTCATTGTTGCAATGGGTCCACCTGTATCCCTATTTAAACAGTTGGTTTTTTTCCCTTCCCCTCCCCAAATCATACCAACATCAAATATAGTAAAAACAGGAGTATTTTAAAATGCACATATATGTACAGAATGTATACTATTTAAGCAGTACAAAAACATTGCATTTTTACTATATTATGCATTATGACTAATCAAGAGATATTTAAGTAGAGAATACTTAAAGTATATAGGAGTATGCAAATAGTATGCAAATTGTTTGCCATTTTATATAAGGAACTTAAGCATCTAAGACAACTATGTTGGAAAATTTTGAGAATGAGGTTTGAAGGTGTCTTAAGAGTGAACAAGAACGTAGACCAAAATGTCAAATGATGTTTATGTAGTTTGTATCAATAAGATGAAAGAACACAAGTTAGAGGTATAGAATGAGTGAAATATAAATGTAACCAAAGGGGGGAAGTCATAAAACTTTACCTATCTATTGTAGTACAATCCCTCCAAAATTAGAGATCGGATAATTTTCTTTTACTGTTCCTTAGCATTCTAGAAACCAAATAATTCTACCTGTTTCTATAAACATGGGCCCAGATTAGAGTGTCAACACTGGCTTTAACTTACTTACTTCCTCAAGAAAGACAGAAAAAGGGGCTGGCAAGGTGGCTCAGTGGTAGAGTGCTTGCCTTGCATGCATGAGGCCCTGGGTTCGATTCCTCAGCACCACATAAGCAGAAAAAAAAAAGCCAGAAGTGGCACTGTGGCTCAAGTGGTAGAGCTCTAGCCTTGAGCTGAAATGCTGAGGGACAGTGCCCAGGCCCAGAGTTCAGGCCCCACGACCAGACCACCCCCCCAAAAAAAGAAAGAAAGACAGAAAAAAAAACAAAAATAATAACATCAATATGAGAGCCATTTTTAGAAGTAAAATGATTAAAAATTTGATATTTAATTCAAATCGAAGATATTATTTTTTAAAAAAAGGAAAGGCTGGTGTGAATTCAGCTTCAGAGCCTGAGAAAGTGATAAAGTCTTCCATTGAAATCAGTAGTGCTGAGAAAAGATACCATTGACAATGTCTGCAAATAAAGCTAGAACCTATTGTAGTTGAGGTATGTGCAGTATACCTGCAAAGATAACTATACTCTGGAGAGAGCTCAAAAATGGAAATTCTGCAGTCAGAACCACATAGGGCCTAACTCCCAGGAAATGAATGAGGCAATGCAGTCAGAGCTGAGAGAACAGTGAGAAAATCTGTAGGAATGCCTAGATTTTTAGTAGAATCAGCAAATTAATGGAGGATGTTTATAATATCAATTTTCATACAGCTAACATGTCATATTTCTTGTCTTGAGACATTTGGGTTGAAATGCCTAGGAAAAGCCAGAAAGAGATCTGGGCCTCAGGGAAAAGGTGGAATGGAGAATAAGTGGATTATATAGGAATGATACAATGACCACTTAAGAGGGAAGAGTTCTATTTTTACTTCTAAAAACATTTGAAGGCAAATGAGCAAAACATAGTAATTCAGAGTAGAAAACTTAATGAATACTGGAACTTCAAGTGATTTCTCATCTTCTCAAGGCCTCATTTTCCCCTCTATAAAACCTATAGTTTAGACAGAATATCCTTTAGGATTCTAGCATCACCCAAGCATATGCGTGATGTCAGACAGCCAGATGGAATCTCTGCCCTTCCCCCTCATTACCTGTGGTCCTTGGTATGCCATTGATTTATAATTGTGAAATTAGGTACCTTTATCAAAAAGAAAATAGCCTGTAGCCATCTCTTTGATCTCACATGCTCTCTAGTGAGAGCATGCACACAATTCTAGGTATGTAGACTCTAAATTGTGTTGCAATGGGAGCCCTAGATATAGTATACTTGAATAGGTATTATCAGAATTAAAGAGTATTTTCCTGAAAAAGTAGTGATCATTTTTGGGATAAGCTATTAATATTGCAAAATGTATAGACCAAATGGTTATTTTTAACCCATTTTGGAGATGTGTAGACAATTATAGACCTACAGACATGATATAGGAATATTGTCTGAATATACAGCATTAGAAAACTCCAGGATTTGTTTGCTTTTATGATTTGTAAAATACACATGTTTGAATGTCTTTAATATCACATCATGCCTGATCCGTTCTCATTGTAAGTATAACAGCTTCACTTAGTATTGTGACCTGAAACATCATGCTAAATGCAGGGAAATTGGGGTGGGAAGTCTATATTTCTGGTTAGAATTAGGTAAATTCCAGTCATTTTAGTTTCTAAAATTCACAATAATATCATGACAAAAAGTCTAACCCAAAATGTTCCCTCATTATAAGAGCTACTTATCCTTTTGTTAATCATGAGACTATCCAATACAATTCATAAAATAAAAATATAACTTGAATTTGAAACTAACTTTAGAGGAAAAATGCTTTTGTATGTAGAGGAGAAAATTATGGGACCAGTAAGGAAAGAATGCAAGAGAAATTCAATGTTTTGCTTCTGACTTTTCTTGGAGAGTGTGGATCAACATACATGTTAAATGGT